CGTAAAACGTATAAGTGTACACGTACACACTGTTAAGGACCAAACCCCGGGGTATGAGTGAAAAGTACACACTGTATGAGTGACACTACACACATATGAGTGACACTACCACTGTATAAGTTAACTACACACTTATGATGTACCTACACCTGTATGATGTACACGACCACTGAAATGAGTGTACACGTCCACACTGTATAAGTGTAACGTACACACTGTATAAGTGAACACGACACACTGTATAAGGTACACGTACACACTGTATGGGGTTACACGCACACTGTTGAGTGTACACGTACACACTGTATAGTTACACGACACACTGTATAAGTGTACACGAACACTGTATGGTACACGAAAAACCACTGTATGATGTACACGTACACACTGAGATGTACACAAACACACGTAAAGTGTACACGTACACACTGTATAAGGTACACTACAAAACTGTATAAAGTGTACACGACACACTGTATAATGTACACGTACACACTGTAGATGTACACGTACACATTATGGTGAACGACACCGAAAAGTGTACACACACACTGTATAATGTACACGTACACACGAAAGTGACCACACACTGTATGAGGTACCGTACACACGATAAAGTGTCCCGAAACACTGTATGGGACACGTACACACTGTATAAGGGGTTACACGTACACACTGTATGAGTGTACACGCCCCCCCCACACTGTATATGTACACGTACACCTGTATGAGTGTACACTCAACTGTATGAGTTACACGTACACACTGTACGAGTGTACAAAAGTAAAGAGCACATGTTAAAATAAACCTTCCAATCAACCCGGGTTTTTAGGGTTACACTGGTCTCTGTTACATGGCCCGGGGTTTAAGGTTTTGGGGTCACGGGGGGGTTGTTCGGTTAAGGTTGGGAAGGTTGGAAGGTTTGGTTAACGGGTTTGGGTTTAATTGGTTTGGGGAAAAGGTTTGGTTACACGGTTTGGTTACCTGGTCTCTGTTAACTGGTCCTGGTTACACTTTTTCCTGTTACATTCTCTGGTTCGGGTTAAACGGGTCTCGGGTTTGGGGGTTGGTGAATGTGGGTTTAAAGTGGGGGTTCCCAGCGGATGATGCGGCTCGACCCCCTCCGTTTGTATTGCCCGAATTTGGGGGGTTGGTTGGTTTTATTTTTGGTTTAAAGTGGGTTGGTTGGTTGATTTTTTGGGGGGTGGGATTGGGGTTAAGGGGTTGGTTGGGGGGGTTGGTTTGTTGGGGTTGGTTGGGGGGGGTTGGTTGGGGGGGTGGTTGTGTTTAGGGATGGTTAGGTTGTTGTGTTTGTGAAGGGTTTTTTGGTTTTTTTGGGGGGGGTAGGTTGGTTTGGGTTTTGGGGGGTGGTGGGGGTGGTTTTTATTGATAGGGAGGGTGGGGGTGGACTAGTTTGGGAGGGTAGTTAGGATTGTTGGGGGGGGGGTTAGTGCTGTTTGGTAGGGTGGGTGGTGGGTAGGTTTTTTGGGAAAAAGGTTTAGGTTGGGTGGGTTTAGGGAAAGTTGGTTAGTTGTTAGGTAGGGTAGGTTAGTTTAGTTGGGTGGTGGTTATTTTCGCTAGTTAGGGTAGGTGGGTTATTTTTTTACTTAGGTAGGTATTAGGAAGGTGGGGTGGTTTTTGCAAAGTTAAGGGTAGGAGGTTTTGTTGGGGGGGGGGGGGTTTGGGAGGTTTTGGTTTAGAAATTAGGGGGGTGGGTTGGGTTAGCAAGTTTTAGTTTAAGGTAGGTGGGGTTGGTCAGGTTTGCGGGAAAAAGACAAGTTTTCCCTACAGGGGTTTTTTTCTTTTTTATGACCCACGCGGAGCTTTTGTCATCGACCGGGGCCCTTTCCACTGGCTTACCCCTCACCCTTTTAAAAAGTATGGTTGTGATTATAGGCATTAGTGATATGTGGAAGGGATGGAAGATTTATCCTATATTCCCTTACACAGTTTTACATACAGGTACGATAGGGGTCAGGAAAGTTGTTAAAGGAATAGTGTGTGGTTAATAAAAGGTCAGACAAGATGTCTCCAACCACACCTTGTTGAATACTGGCAGCCAGATGACTGATACACTAGTTGTATCAACCACACCTTGTTGAATACTGGCAACCAGATGACTGATACACTAGTTGTATCAACCACACCTTGTTAAAATACTGGCAACCAGATGACTGATACACTAGTTGTATCAACCACACCTTGTTAAATACTGGCAGCCAGATGACTGATACACTAGTTGTATCAACCACACCTTGTTGAATACTGGCAACCAGATGACTGATACACTAGTTGTATCAACCACACCTTGTTAAATACTGGCAGCCAGATGACTGATACACTAGTTGTATCAACCACACCTTGTTGAATACTGGCAACCAGATGACTGATACACTAGTTGTATCAACCACACCTTGTTGAATACTGGCAGCCAGATGACTGATACACTAGTTGTATCAACCACACCTTGTTAAATACTGGCAGCCAGATGACTGATACACTAGTTGTATCAACCACACCTTGTTGAATACTGGCAGCCAGATGACTGATACACTAGTTGTATCAACCACACCTTGTTGAATACTGCAGCCAGATGACTGATACACTAGTTGTATCAACCACACCTTGTTAAATACTGGCAGCCAGATGACTGATACACTAGTTGTATCAACCACACCTTGTTGAATACTGGCAGCCAGATGACTGATACACTAGTTGTATCAACCACACCTTGTTGAATACTGGCAGCCAGATGACTGATACACTAGTTGTATCAACCACACCTTGTTGAATACTGGCAACCAGATGACTGATTACACTAGTTGTATCAACCACACCTTGTTGAAAAACTGGCAGCCAGATGACTGATACACTAGTTGTATCAACCACACCTTGTTGAATACTGGCAGCCAGATGACTGATACACTAGTTGTATCAACCACACCTTGTTTGAATACTGGCAGCCAGATGACTGATACACTAGTTGTATCAACCACACCTTGTTGAATACTGGCAACCAGATGACTGATACACTAGTTGTATCAACCACACCTTGTTAAATACTGGCAGCCAGATGACTGATACATAGTTGTATCAACCACACCTTGTTGAATATGGCAGCCAGATGACTGATACACTAGTTGTATCAACCACACCTTGTTGAATACTGGCAACCAGATGACTGATACACTAGTTGTATCAACCACACCTTGTTAAATACTGCAGCCAGATGACTGATACACTAGTTGTATCAACCACACCTTGTTGAATACTGGCAGCCAGATGACTGATACACTAGTTGTATCAACCACACCTTGTTAAATACTGGCAGCCAGATGACTGATACACTAGTTGTATCAACCACACCTTGTTGAATACTGGCAACCAGATGACTGATACACTAGTTGTATCAACCACACCTTGTTGAATACTGGCAGCCAGATGACTGATACACTAGTTGTATCAACCACACCTTGTTAAATACTGGCAGCCAGATGACTGATACACTAGTTGTATCAACCACACCTTGTGAATACTGGCAGCCAGATGACTGATACACTAGTTGTATACAACCACACCTTGTTAAATACTGGCAGCCAGATGACTGATACACTAGTTGTATCAACCACACTTGTTAAATACTGGCAACCAGATGACTGATACACTAGTTGTATCAACCACACCTTGTTGAATACTGGCAGCCAGATGACTGATACACTAGTTGTATCAACCACACCTTGTTAAATACTGGCAACCAGATGACTGATACACTAGTTGTATCAACCACACCTTGTTGAATACTGGCAGCCAGATGACTGATACACTAGTTGTATCAACCACACCTTGTTAAATACTGGCAACCAGATGACTGATACACTAGTTGTATCAACCACACCTTGTTGAATACTGGCAGCCAGATGACTGATACACTAGTTGTATCAACCACACCTTGTTAAATACTGGCAACCAGATGACTGATACACTAGTTGTATCAACCACACCTTGTTGGAGTACTAACAACCAGGTGACTGATACACTAGTTGTATCAACCACACCTTGTTGAGTACTAACAACCAGGCGACTGATACACTAGTTGTATCAACCACACCTTGTTGAGTACTAACAACCAGGCGACTGATACACTAGTTGTATCAACCACACCTTGTTAAATACTGGCAACCAGATGACTGATACACTAGTTGTATCAACCACACCTTGTTGAGTACTAACAACCAGGTGACTGATACACTAGTTGTATCAACCACACCTTGTTGAGTACTAACAACCAGGCGACTGATACACTAGTTGTATCAACCACACCTTGTTGAGTACTAACAACCAGGCGACTGATACACTAGTTGTATCAAACCACACCTTGTTGAGTACTAACAACCAGGCGACTGATACACTAGTTGTATCAACCACACCTTGTTGAGTACTAACAACCAGGCGACTGATACACTAGTTGTATCAACCACACCTTGTTGAGTACTAACAACCAGGTGACTGATACACTAGTTGTATCAACCACACCTTGTTGAGTACTAACAACCAGGCGACTGATACACTAGTTGTATCAACCACACCTTGCTGAGTACTAACAACCAGGTGACTGATACACTAGTTGTATCAACCACACCTTGAGTACAAACAAGCAGCTGAGTAACAAACCAGTTACATCTGTTTTTTTCCTATGAGAGTGGAGCCACGAACAACAAAGGCATAAAACAACAAACACCGATAATGGAACAACACGAACATAACTCCTTCCCGGGAGCTCCATAACTGAGCCAAAATTAATATCCTCTTTCTCAAACACGCGCACACTGGTCTATCATTTCCAGTGACCAAAATAAAAAAAAATGTATATGTTGACAACGAGGCTGGTGACGTCATCAAGATGGTGGAGTGGTGGAAGTGAGAGTGGCGCCCAGGTCAGGGAGGTGTTCCTGGTGTAGGGTATATAAGAGAAGGTAAGAACCTGTCAGGGCAACAATAAGTCCAGACCAGCCAGTGAAGATGGTAAGTAGCTGTGACTACCTCCCCTTGTGTCTGTGTCTCACACACATACATATTCACACTCGACAAGGTGGACAGAGACAGGATGTTCCAGAGATGGGACATAGTAACAAGGGGACACAGTTGAAAGTTGAAGACTCAGATGAATAACAGGGATTTTAGGAAGTATTTCTTCAGATACAGAGTTGTCAAGAAGTGAAATAGTCTGGGAGGTTATGTAGTATAGGTAGGATCCATACATAGCTTTAAGAAGAGGTATGATAAAACTAATGGAGCAGGAAAAGTGGCCCAGTAGACGCCAGTGACGAGGCGGGGCAAGGAGCTGTGACTCGACCCCTGCAACCACAACTAGGTGAGCACACACACACACACACACACACACACACACACACACACACATACACACACACATACACGCACACGCACACACGCACACGCACACACACACGCACACACACACACACACACACACACACATATACACACACACACACACACACACATATATATATATACACACACACACACATACACACACACATACACACACACACATACACACACACACACACACACACATACACACATACACACACACACACACACACACACACACACATACACACATACACACACACACACACACACACACACACACACACACACATACACACATACACACACACACACACACACACACACACATACACACACAGGGCCAACGACAATACGAATATGACACGGAGGCGAAATCCATGTCTGACCTGAAGCTATTGTACAACCACATCAGGAGGAAAGCAACAATCAAAGACCAGGTAACCAAGCTGAGGAAGGAAGGAGGGGAGATCACAAGAAACGACCTTGAAGTATGTGAGGAACTCAACATGAGTTTCAAAGAAGTATTTACAGTGGAGACAAAAGGGTCTCTAGAAAGCAGGAGAGGTGGGGTACACCATCAAGTGTTGGGCACAGTACATACAACCGAGAAGGTGAAGAGGCTACTAACCGTACTAGATATCTTAAAGGCGATGAGGCCGGATAACATCTCTCCATGGGTCCTGAGAGAGGGAGCCAAGGCTCTCTCTGTACCACTAACAACACATCTATCGAAACAGGGCGACTACCTGAGGTATGGAAGAGAGCAAATGTAGTTCCAATTTAAAAAAAAAAAAAGACGGACATGCAGCATTAAACTTCAGACCAGTGTCACTGACATGTAAAATATGCAAAGTCTTGGAGAAGATTATCAGGAGAAGAGTGGTGGAGCACTTAGAAAGGAATGAGCTTACAAACGACAACCAGCACGTATTCAGAGACGGGAAATACTGTCACAAACCTACTGGGGTTCTATGACAAGGTGACAGTAGTAAGGCAAGAAAGAGAGAGGGCTGGGTAGAATGCATTTTTCTTGGACTGTAAAAAGGCTTTTGACACAGTTCCACACAAAAGATTAGTGCAAAAGCAGGAGGACCAAGCAGGTATAACAGGTAAGGTACTGCAGTGGATCAGAGAATACCTGACAGGAAGGCATCAGTGAGTCATGGTACGTGATAAAATGTCAGAGTGGGCGTCTGTGACGAGCTGGGTTCCAAAAGGGTCAGTCCTAGGAACGGTGCTGTTTCTGGCATATGTGAATGACATGACGGAAGGAATAGATTTTAAAGTGTCCCTGTTTTCAAAGGATGAGGAGAATTCAGTTAGAGGAAAATAAGACAGGACTACAGAGGGATCTGGACAGGCTGCAGTCGTGGTCCAGCACCTGGCTCCTGGCATTCAACCCCACCAAGGACAAAGTCATGAAGATCGGGAGAGAAAAAAGATGACTGCAGACATAGTACAATCTAGGGGACCAAAGACTATAAACCTCACTCAAGGAAAAGGATCTTGGGGTGAGTATAATACCGAGCACATCTCCTGGGCGACTAGCGAACCTAAGAACAGCATTCCGATATCTCAGTAATGAGTCGTTCCGAACCCTGTACACCATGTACGTCAAGCCCATACTGGAGAATGCAGGTCCAGTTTTTAACCTACTCCTAGCGAAGTACGTCAGGAAATTAGAGAAAGTGAAAAGGTATGCTATGGGGTATGTCCTACTAGGAGAGGTTATGGGAACTCGACCTGACGACACTGGAGGACAGGAGGGATAGAAGGGGACATGAAAACGACATATAAAATACTGATAGGAATCGACAAGAAGGAAAGAATGTTCCACAGATGGGACACAGCAACAAGGGGTCACAAATGGAAGTAGAGAATCCAGATGAGTCAAAGAGATGTTAGGAAGTATTTTTTTAGTCACAGAGTTGTCAGGAAGTGGAATAGTCTGGAAAGTGACGTAGTGGAGGCGGGATCCATACATAGTTTTAAGACGAGGTATGATAATGCTCATGGAGCAGGGAGAGAGAGGGCCTAGTAGCGATCAGTGAAGAGGCGGAGCCAGGAGCTATGACTCGACCCCTGCAACCACAAATAAGTGAATACACACACACACACACACACACACACACACACACACACACACACACACAGATAGTACCGAGTGTTCAGATAGTACCCAGTGTTCAGATAGTACCCAGTGTTCAGATAGTGTCCAGTGTTCAGATAGTACCCAGTGTTCAGATAGTACCCAGTGTTCAGATAGTACCCAGTGTTCAGATAGTACCCAGTGTTCAGATAGTGCCCAGTATTCAGATAGTACCCAGTGTTCAGATAGTACCCAGTGTTCAGATAGTACCCAGTGTTCAGATAGTGTCCAGTGTTCAGATAGTACCCAGTGTTCAGATAGTACCCAGTGTTCAGATAGTGCCCAGTATTCAGATAGTACCCATTGTTCAGATAGTACCCAGTGTTCAGCAAGTGTTCAGACAGTGCCCAGTACTAGACAAGAGTCCAAACATGAGTATACATGTCCCTTGAATTAAATAAGCACTTAGGCTACACTATGTAACAATGTACCCTGTATAGTTATGTATATGAATATAAAACTGACATATATATATATATATATATATATAATATATATATATATATATATATATATATATATATATATATATATATATATATATATATATATATATATATATATATATATACATATATATATATATATATATATATATATATATATATATATATATATATATATATATATATATATATATATATATATATATATATATATATATATATATATTGTTCATAATTTACATTAATGACCTTGATGAAGGGATTACTAGTGACATGAGTAAGTTTGCTGATGGTACAAAGATAGGCCGTATAATTCATTCTGATGAGGGTAGCAATGAACTCCAGGAGGATTTGGACAAATTAATGTCTTGGTCTACAAAATGGCAGATGAAGTTCAATGTGGATAAGTGTAAGGTACTTGCCCTTGGTAATGAAAATAACCCTCGAAGCTATAATCTAGGTGAAGTAGAGCTTGGTCATACAGAATGTGAAAAGGACTTGGGAGTCATGGTAAGCAGAAATCTAAAGCCAAGACAGCAGTGCCTTAGTGTGCGCAACAAGGCCAACAGATTACTTGGATTTATCTCCAGAAGTATAAGTAACAGAAGTCCAAAAGTTATTTTACAGCTCTATACATCACTAGTGAGGCCTCATTTAGATTATGCTGCTCAGTTTTGGTCTCCTTACTACAGGATGGATATAGACTCATTAGAGAACATACAGAGAAGAATGACTAAAATGATTTACTGTGTAAGGAACCTCCCGTGTGAAGATAGACTTAAAGCCTTAAATCTCCACTCTCTGGAGAGGCGTAGAATGAGGGGAGATATCATTGAAGTGTGTAAGTGGATGATGGGCATAAACAGGGGAGATATTAATAAAGTACTGAGGGTGTCGAACCAGGTAAGAACCAGAAATAATGGATTTAAGTTGGAAAAATTTAGATTTAGAAAGAACATAGGTAAGTACTGGTTTTCTAACAGAGTTGTGGATGCATGGAACAATCTTCCCAGTAGGGTGATCGAAGCTAGGACCTTGGGTAGCTTTAAAAAAAGATTGGACAAATATGAGTGGGAGGGGCTGGGTTTGATTGGTGCCACTGGGTAAGGGAGTAAATTCTTGGGTAGCTTTGGGTAGAGGTCGTTTTGATAAGGACCTGCCTTGTATGGGCCAGTAGGCCTTCTGCAGTGTTCCTCCATTCTTATATTCTTATGTACAAACAGTTGATGTCATACCAGCAGAGGATTCAGACCTCTGTGTGTGACACGCCACTCAGGCAGAGGCTTAAAACAGGTGAAACAGGTGTGATGAATGGTTTGAAAAACCGACAAGTTGAAGATTGAGACACTTATGCAGCATATGGGAATCTTTATTCAGGAAACGTTTCGCCACGCAGTGGCTTCATCAGTCCAATACAAAGAAGGCGTAAGGAGAGGAGGAGAATGAGGTAATCAGTCCCTCAACCTGGAGTCGATGTGTTCAGTCCATCAATCTTGTAGAATGTGGCACATTCTACAAGATTGATGGACTGAACACATCGACTCCAGGTTGAGGGACTGATTACCTCATTCTCCTCCTCTCCTTAGGTGAAACAGGCTCAGATGCCCCGCTGCATCTCTTAAAACAGGTGGAACAGATTCAGATCCCCCGCTGCATCTCTTAAAAGAGGTGGAACAGGTTCAGATCCCCATCTGCAATTCTTAAATCAGATGGCACAGGTTCAAATTCCCACTGCATCTGTTAAAGCAGATGGAACAGGTTCAGATCTCCCGCTGCATCTCTTAAAACAGGTGGAACAGGTTCAGATTCCTCGCTGCATCTTTAAAACAGGTGCAACAGGTTCAGATCCCCCGCTGCACTTGAGATCAGTTGTTGATCAACACACTTGTGGTTGAGTATTGTTAAGCATGTACGTACATGATATGTAAAATATATATATACCGCATATAAGACGCACGAGTATGTAAGACTGATATATAAGACAATGTTTGCAAGCAGTTGTAACGTAACGTTAGTAAACAACGGCTAAAGCGTAACCTACCCTCGACCCTGATCTTGAGCATATAAGGCGCAGGATGATTTTCAGACTTTCTGAGGTGGAAAAAGGTACGTCTTATATGACGGAAAATACAGCATGTGGAAATATAAACACAAATGCAGTATAATGTGATCCTTTATTGACAACGTTTCACCCACACAGTGGGCTTTCTCAAGTCACACACGGATCTACCTGGGGTTGCAAAAAGCAAAGCAAAGCAAACAAGTTTAGGTAAGATCCCAATGGGATGAGCGGGGAAGACGGGACAAATGAAGAATAGCTCTGGAGAGGAGTGTTCTTAGTAAGAGAAATAGAGCCAGGGCTTAACCCAGCAGCTAAGGCGATCGTGGGGCAGACTTGAGAACAGGAATAGCAGGGACTGTTGCATTGAACTTGTGGTAGTTGAAGTCTTGAATCTTGAGTAGCTGGCAGCAGGCTAGGTCACATCAGAGGGTAGAACACATATGGGAGTTATAGGAGTAACTGAGGAGGCAGGTTAGCAATGGAGCCATTTTCAAACTTTTTGAAGCTGCTTCTAGATAGGTGGTATAATTTAGCCTTGTTGCTGAAGGTGAAACGTAGAGGCTTGATGAACTCAAGAACTTGGGTGAGTGTGAAGTGAAGCGGTGATTCACATGCATACTTGACTGTTCCAGCACCGAGGCTTTTGTAGAGTTCAGTACAGGTCATGGTGTCAGTATTTGAAGGAGAAGTGTAAAAGGTAAGGTTTTCCCATGAGGGTTTACTGGAGTCGTCGTTATCTTCCTCTTCTGGAGTGGATTCACTGGGAGAATCTACAATGGTGGTAGCAGGTGACTGAGGTTCGACAGGAGCAGCTGTAAGGTGTAATGGTTGTGTAACAGCAGGCTGGGAGAGGTGGGAGACGGTGGTTGAGGCAACTTGATCAACGTTGTCAGCGGTGGAAGTGGTTATAGAAGTTACAGGAGCAGTTGCTTGGGCAGGAGACAGGTCTGTAGGTGCAGTAAAGTTCAGGACGTTGGGAAGGATCTTGAGGATGTCTTCTGAAGGTGTGGATTCCGGAAAATTGAAGGCAGGCATGTTGTTCAGACGGAATAGTTCGTTAATAGTGGTGTTGAAAGTGCCGGGGCTTGCTGCGTTTGCAAGGTGTGCATACACCATGCAGTACAGCACCTTGGAAGGAGCACCGTCGGGGAGTGGAGAGAGGGAGTTGCTGGGCGATGGTGCCTGTAGATTAGGGTGTAGAGTCTTGATGGCGTCGGTTTGTGGTTTGGTTATTGCCCAGCAACTCCCTCTCTCCACTCCCCGACGGTGCTCCTTCCAAGGTGCTGTACTGCATGGTGTATGCACACCTTGCAAACGCAGCAAGCCCCGGCACTTTCAACACCACTATTAACGAACTATTCCGTCTGAACAACATGCCTGCCTTCAATTTTCCGGAATCCACACCTTCAGAAGACATCCTCAAGATCCTTCCCAACGTCCTGAACTTTACTGCACCTACAGACCTGTCTCCTGCCCAAGCAACTGCTCCTGTAACTTCTATAACCACTTCCACCGCTGACAACGTTGATCAAGTTGCCTCAACCACCGTCTCCACCTCTCCCAGCCTGCTGTTACACAACCATTACACCTTACAGCTGCTCCTGTCGAACCTCAGTCACCTGCTACCACATTGTAGATTCTCCCAGTGAATCCACTCCAGAAGAGGAAGATAACGACGACTCCAGTAAACCCTCATGGGAAAACCTTACCTTTTACACTTCTCCTTCAAATACTGACACCATGACCTGTACTGAACTCTACAAAAGCCTCGGTGCTGGAACAGTCAAGTATGCATGTGAATCACCGCTTCACTTCACACTCACCCAAGTTCTTGAGTTCATCAAGCCTCTACGTTTCACCTTCAGCAACAAGGCTAAATTATACCACCTATCTAGAAGCAGCTTCAAAAAGTTTGAAAATGGCTCCATTGCTAACCTGCCTCCTCAGTTACCCCTATAACTCCCATATGTGTTCTACCCTCTGATGTGACCTAGCCTGCTGCCAGCTACTCAAGATTCAAGACTTCAACTACCACAAGTTCAATGCAACAGTCCCTGCTATTCCTGTTCTCAAGTCTGCCCCACGATCGCCTTAGCTGCTGGGTTAAGCCCGGGGCTTTTTTTTTCTCTTACTAAGAACACTCCTCTCCAGAGCTATTCTTCATTTGTCCCGTCTTCCCCGCTCATCCCATTGGGATCTTACCTAAACTTGTTTGCTTTGCTTTGCTTTTTGCAACCCCAGGTAGATCCGTGTGTGACTTGAAAAAGCCCACTGTGTGGGTGAAACGTTGTCAATAAAGGATCACATTATACTGCATTTGTGTTTATATTTCCATTGTGTCGGTATTTTATACCATTTATTACCAAATACAGCATGTATATGTATGGTGTGTATGTATTATACATAACGGCTTTATGTTACAGGGAGGGACGTACGTAACGATCCTCATCACCCTGCTAGCGAGTCTCAGTCTTGGAGAAAAACTAGGAGGAGGCTTTGGAGGAACTGGATCAATTGGATCTTCCTACTCTGCTCCTGGTATTGGTGGAGGAGGCATTGGAGGCGGAGGCTTTGGAGGTGGCGGCCTTGGAGGCGGCGGCTTTGGAGGAGGTGGATCAATCGGATCGACCTACTCTGCTCCTGGTATTGGAGGCGGCTTTGGAGGAGGAGGCATTGGAGGAGGCGGTGGTATCTCCAAAGGAGGTGGAGGCTTCGTGGGTTCTATCTCTGATAGCTACGGTGCTCCGGGTATAGGAGGTGGTGGATTTGGCGGAGGATTAGGTGGTGGTGGATTAGGAGGACTAGGTGGTGGTGGTGGATTAGGAGGGTTAGGTGGAGGTGGATTAGGAGGCTTTGGTGGCGGTGGAATAATCAGTGACAGCTATTCAGCTCCTGGTATAGGTGGAGGTGGATTAGGCGGTGGATTAGGAGATGGACTAGGTGGTGGATTAGGTGGATTAGGTGGTGGAGTAGGAGGTGGATTAGGTGGCGGTGGAATCAGTGACAGTTATTCTGCCCCTGCTATAGGTGGAGGTGGATTAGGAGGATTGGGAGGTGGATTAGGGGGATTGGGAGGTGGATTAGGTGGATTGGGCGGTGGAATAGGTGGCGGTGGAATTAGTGACAGTTATTCTGCCCCTGTTATAGGTGGAGGTGGATTAGGGGGATTAGGAGGTGGATTAGGGGGATTGGGAGGTGGATTAGGTGGCGGTGGAATAATCAGTGACAGCTATTCAGCACCTGGTATAGGTGGAGGTGGATTTGGTGGAGGTGGATTTGGTGGCGGTGGATTTGGTGGAGGTGGATTTGGCGGTGGCAGTGGTGGGCTTGGAAGTGGATTATCCATCACGAAAGCCATCGGAACTCCTATAATTAGCTCCAGTTACTCTGCACCATTAGCCGGTGGAGGTATCGGTGGAGGCATCGGTGGAGGCATCGGTGGAGGCATCGGTGGAGGCATCGGTGGAGGTGGAATAGTGGGCGGAGGTTCGAGCATGTACGGCAGATAATTGTACCTTGACTCTCGAAGTTGTTGTTCCTTCAATACTACAAGGAAGACAAATTGGCCTCGAACTTGTTCCTTCAAGACTACTAAGCTGACTTCTAATCTGTTGTTCCTTCAAGACTACAAGGGTGACAGAAGTTAACCTCAAGAACCACCTTCACTTGTTATCACTCATGTCCATTTCTTCTTGTTGATAGTTTACAGGGCCACTGACAGCTTACGTCGTATCGAGCACTGTCAAGAGCTACTGTACCACAGTTTTCAACCAAATAAAACTATTTTTTTTAATATACACATTTTTTTCATCCTCCTGGCTTTAATGTTATGAAACATTGTTTGCACGTAGCCTGAGCTTATTGTGCATCAGTGTATGTCCATAGAACTGTGTTATTAGGTATCTCTACACCCACAACAGGAACTCCCTCCCTCACAGGGGGATACCTATCGTGGATGTTGGAATATTTTACATGTTCTTTTTTCTTCTTCATCTAAGGATTCTAAGCGATAATTTGAGAATGCCTCTTGAGATCGGCTTCATACTTTAAACTCAAGTGCATCCTACTGCAGGAGTTTCATTTTGCTATAGAACTGCGGGGGTGTTAATTTGACAATTTTTTAGATCAAGTTCTGAAATTGATTTTAGTGTTCTAAGTCGAGATCGCCTCTTCTGATTGCCTTACAATATTCAAGGCTTGTGTACCTTAAATGGAGAAAGTGCTTCAACCAGCTCTCGAATGGAAATGACAAGGGTGGAAACGTGAGTGGTAACCACGTCAGCTCCACAATTGCCAGATCCACCTTCTCATTGGCTGAACCTAGATACTGAGATGACGATGGGGCCCCATCATCCGATGCTTAGCATCTGGTTTGCTGGTTGGGGAGGTAGCCTTTTAATGAGGGTGTGTACATGAGCCGAATAATGGTTACATACTCTTTGCATGCCACAACCGTGTACTTACCAAGCCGTCAATATAAGTTAAAAAAAAATGTGATGCATTTTGACTGTACAATGATTTGTGAGTATATCTTCTGAACAGCTTTAAGCTGTATATATTGATGCATCTTGTGGAAAATTGCATTTACTTGGATGTATCATTATTTACATAACAGTAAATGAACAAAGATAATTATTATTTATTAGTTAGACAAGTAGGAATCTGGGACACCTAGGTCGCAAAAAATGTCCCCCTTCGATACCTACCACTGTCATATCCACAAGTTGCTCTGGACCTATTAATTATAAATGAAAAATACATCACCAGGAATGCTGGTAAATATATAAATTTGTGGACTGCATATTAAAAATAATAAATGATTTTTATATATATATATATATATATATATATATTATATATATATATATATATATATATATATATACACATTTATACAACAGAAGGAGAATATATCTTAATATCACTCACCAATTTGACTGGAAATCAAGGTGTATCATACTCAGAAAACCTCACTGTCTATACATGAAAATAACACTAGCCAGAGTTATAACATAACAGACTTATCTGAGGTTCCTGGAGCTGTCTTGTCCAGTCGCCTGATATCTCAAGTTATGCAGGAATGCACATCCAACAATTTCGCCTCCTATTTGAGAAGTGTCAACCCAATTTTAACCTCTAGAGCACGAAAAATTCGTCCCATTACACTAACGCTTCTAGTCCAAATTCAAACAAAATGGCGACTTCCCTTCTGCGCAGGCGCAGGTTCAGTTTCCCATTTTCCATAATATAATTCTTTTAAAAATACAATATAGGGCATCTATTTACCTATAAATTACCGTATTTCCTGAAAATATACAGTATTTTCCACACATCTGCCACAAAACCATTGCTAATATTATTTGGTGGCCCATGGCCAGGTGGCAAAAGCTCTCGCTTCACACGGTGAGTGTCCAGGTTCGATTCTCGTCGAGGGTTGAAACATTGGGCGTGTTTCCTTACACTGGTTGTCTATGTTTACCCTCACTATAAAATGGTTACCTGGGTGTGGGTTGCATCCTGGGACAAAATTGATCCAATTTGCCCTAAATGCTCTACATAACAAGCGGCTTTCTATATAGTAGTATGTCACTGATGTCAGCTAGACCTGTATACCTTGTACATGTACTTGTAGAAATAAAGATATCTATTATATTATTAATTTTATGTAGTTAAAGGCCACTGGCCATGAGCTTGTTCTGGTAAACTGGTATCACTGAAGCTTGTTCTGGTAAACTGGTATCACTGAAGCTTGTTCTGGTAAACTGGTATCACTGAAGCTTGTTCTGGTAAACTGGTATCACTGAAGCTTGTTCTGGTAAACTGGTATCACTGAAGCTTGTTCTGGTAAACTGGTATCACTGAAGCTTGTTCTGGTAAACTGGTATCACTGAAGCTTGTTCTGGTAAACTGGTATCACTAAAGCTTGTTCTGGTAAACTGGTATCACTAAAGCTTGTTCTGGTAAACTGGTATCACTGAAACCACTTTCTAAACAATAGAAAGGCAAGTTACATAATAATTTACTTTGGAATTCGCCCAGAGGTCTGGAAGGTAAATCATTTCCCAGTGGCACTTTGAACAATTGTCAAGTTTGGAGTGCAGTTGTTATATATTTACACTCTTGTGATATGTGGTTTCAGTACAGTTGTAGGTCTGTAATTAATACATATTGACTTTCTGTAAAAAGTAAATTACTGGTTGGTTAACTCGCCGCCGCTTTCAGTTTGTTGTAAACCTCATGTCGACCATACACGCTTCAGTGACCAGGTTACAAGGAAGTGAAGGTGACTGTCAGTAACATACTCGTGTCAGACCACCGTCTAACTTAGTGAGGGTTGGTACTCCCACACTGACACTCATGTCATACCATCCTCTAACTTAGTGAGGGTTGGTACTCCCACACACTGACACTCATGTCATACCACCGTCTAACTTAGTGAGGGTTGGTACTCCCACACACTGACACTCATGTCATACCACCGTCTAACTTAGTGAGGGTTGGTACTCCCACACACTGACACTCATGTCATACCATCCTCTAACTTAGTGAGGGTTGGTACTCCCACACACTGACACTCATGTCATACCATCCTCTAACTTAGTGTGGGTTGGTACCCCCACACGCTGGCATCAAGTCATGTGATATTAAATTAATACGCCTTCCTTGGAGGGACGAGATGCTGTTTTATATAAACATGTGGATCATGCAAGGTGGGAAGTAAATCTCCCATCATGAGAAATTGCAGAACCACAGCTCGTATAAACTCAGTACTGTGTGTACTTCCTGGAGCGTAGGCGAGAAACATACATGATAATTATCTACACCTGGAAGACCCTGGAGGAATTGGTCTGAAACTTGCGTACCAGAATCACTACATAAGCTCAGAACAAGAGTCTTGGTAGACGGTGAAAAACAGGGAGCGATAAGAACACTTAGCAAGAACTTAGTAACCTTTATACATAAGGGAAATACCAACAGAACCTTAGGTGTCTTCAAGAGGAAATTTCGACAAGTTCTTCAAATCAGTTGCCCCTTTAACTGGGCTGTGATTTATTGGACTGAAGGCGGGGGTTTCCCAAACCCCTGATCGCTCGGGCCCAGCAACCAGGGGGGCCCGGTCCGGGACCCGGCCGCGGCGGCAGTAAACTCCGGGGGGAGCTGCAAATAACAAAACAGGGTTACCAGAGAAAATTTTAAGGGGAAACATTTCCCGCCAGCGACCTCATGAGGGAGTGTTGCTGAGATTCTTAATTTGCCACATACAAACTATACAGTAGTGAAAAACCCATAAACGTAAAAGCATTTAGGACAAGGTGAGCCCAGGGGAGGCACTGAGGAAAATATCTTTTTTTACTACAAGTCATGTACAAGGTTTTACAGGTCTGCTGACATCAATGACTACTACAAAAAATTATAAAAACCCGTTTGTTACCTGAGCATTTCGAGTAAATTATGTCTTTTTTGTCCCGGGATGCAAACCCCCCCAAAGCCCAACTAACCCCCCGGGTCCCCATTTTTATACTGTTTGGGTAAACAGGGACAGCAGGTGTCTTATGGAAACACGTCCTAATGTTATCCGGGCCGAGGGAAATTGCGAACCCGGGCCCTCAGTGTGTGAGCTGAGTGGGGCTACTGATCGTTTCTTTCGAGACACCCAAAACATTTGGGTACTCTGAAGGGCGAACATTACTGGGGACGCTTTAAAATACTGCCTATAAAATTTTTAATTTTTTGCACCCTCACTTTTCCCCCCATAACCCCCCCCCCTCTCTTCCCTTCCCTCTTCCTTTTCCTTCCCCCGGCCTGCCCCTGTCTCACACAGAAAACAAACAACAGAGCTACCACAAAAGGCAGGAAACCTTGGGCTGAGAGAAGGTTCTGGCTGCCCCGTCCCCCCAAGTTATCACCAGTACCAAAAGTAGTTAAAAGCAGTCCCAGCAAATCCCAACAGTACCCAAAAGTCACCACCAGTCCCAAAAAGCTACCAAAAAGTCCCACCAAATCACCAGGGAATTACCAACATTTTTCCAACATCCCCAAACCGGGCACCACAAATCCAATCACCAAACAGTTACCACCCTCACCCGCAGTAGTCCCCCAGCGTCACCACCACCCTACAATCACCAAAATCACAACCCCGTCACCAGCAATTCCACCCGTCGCCAGCAGTAAATAAGCAGTAGTCAACACCAGTCACTACCCGTCACCCGTATTTTACAACCACCCAAAAGCAGTTACCCCCAGTCACCCGCAGTAGTCCCCCAGCAGGCCCCCACCGATTACCAGTCTCTGCAAAAACCCAAAAATTTTGGTGACTGAGGTAGTTGGGAAAGGGGGGATTTCGGGGGGTTGAGGGATCAGGGGGGTTGAGGTATAGGTGGTTTTAGGGATCAGATTAGGTTAGGTGGTTAGGTTTTAGTTGAAGGGAAAAAATTAGGATGGGTTGAGGGGATCAGGGTGGGGGTTAGGGAATCAGGGGGTTGGGGGTGATCAGGTAGGTAGGTGATGGTGGTTGAGGTGATTAGGTAGTTGAGGCGATCGATAGTTTTTAGGTGATCAGGTTGTTGAGGTGATCAGGTGTTGGGGGTTTATCAGGTGGTTGGGTGATTAGGTTGGTTTAGGGGATCAAAGGGATTTAGGGGATCAGGTGGTTGAGGTGATTAGGTAGGTTTTAAAGGGATCAGAAGTTGAGGGATCAGGGTTTTTTGAGGTGTCAGATGGTTTTTAGGGGATCAGGTGGTTGAGGTGACAGGGGGTTTTAGGGGGATTAGGGGAAAGGGGAGGTGGGTCAGGGA